AACCCTAAAACCTGAAACCCTAATCCCTAAACCAAAAACCCTAAACCCTCAACTCATGGGTTTCCCCAATATAGTAACTTAGATTGAGTCCCTAAACTGCAGCCCAGAAACTGCCGCTGCAAAATCCGAGGAGCCCTGCTGGATGAAGGTCCGAGCACTGCCTAGGAAGGCTTAGGGTTTAGGGTTTAGGTTTTAGGGATTAGGGTTTAGGGACTAGGGTTTAGGGTTTAGGGTTAAGGGCGTAGGGTTTAGGGGATTAGGGCGTAGGGATCAGGGATTAGGGGTTCAGGATTCAGGGCTTAGCGTTCAGGATTTGGCTTTCAGGAAACGGTGTTCAGGATTTAGGGTTCAGGATTTAGGGTTGAGGGGATTGGGATCATGGTTCAGGGCTATTAAATTAAAGGTTGATACTACGGGTGCATAACGACATAGGGGTTTCGAGCGCGTGTATGTGAAAAGACATTTCAGGCGAACAGTTTCCCCATGAAGGTCTTACACAGCTCTGAAACCCTATACTTGCCCTACATGCTGCCTCGTTATGCAAGAGGCTTACGTTTCAGAGCTCACAGTTTAGGGGAGATAATGGAGAATCAAGTGGGAAAGAACATGGAACATGAAATGGAACGGGGTTCATATGGGACCAATAGAAATTGTGGGCTAGGACTAGGTAGGTATAGTACAAAAGACAGCATTATCTACAGTTGTAATCATCCTTTTGTTTGACAAAAGGAAAATTCCCTAAACCCTGAACCCTAAACCCTGAACCCTAATCGCGAAACCCTAAACCCTAAACGAGTTTTAGGGTTTGAGGATTCAGGGCTTAGGGCAGACCACGAGCCTCTAGGGGTTCTGCGGACTGATTTGCTTTGAGGTGCGCAGCTTCTGAGGTTAACTGTTTTATCAAGGGCCTAGCAGGTTAGGTAGGATGTAGTGAAGGGTTTAGAGGTTTTGTGATGTAGGTCTGAATCCCCCAAACCCACAGCCATGCTAGGATATCTCGTAGAGTTGTGCATTGAAGGCGGTTCCAGGCTCCAGCCGTTTTGACGGGGTATGGGATTGTCAGGGGGCTTCAGGGCTTTGGCAGTCTCAGCCTCTAAGATGTGGACCCTGCAGCTCAAAATATCGGATTGGGGGTTGTTCTAAAAGTCCTTGTAAAGAAGGGTAAACCCTAAACCCCAAACCCTAAGACCTAAACCCTAAATCCAGCGTCTGTCTAAACTTGATGGCTGCCTACTTGTCGCAACATTGGGGATGTGACTTTCCAGGGGTTCCATTCATTTGCCGGATTTTGTTGGGGTGTCGCATTTCAGGGATTCCCATTGCTTCACAGGGTCTCTAAACCCTAAACCCTAAGCCCTAAACCCTAAATCCTAAAACCCTAAACCCTAAAACCCTATTTGGGACGCATGTCCGAGGCTTAAATGATCCCCTGGTCATACCTGGACCCCAAAAGTATGTAAAATAATTGCCTTTATTGNNTACATATTTTGGGGGTTTAGGTATGACCACTAGTGGGCTCAAACTTAGGGGTTGGAGTTACCATATCAGGTTTTAATCATTAAGGCATTAAGGGTTTTTTGTGTAAGGTTTCCTGGCATTAGAGCTGTAGGGTCTGTTGCCCCAGCCTGGATCGTGACATGGGAGTCCCTCGGATCCAAGATACGACAGGGCCGAGACAGCCGATCTCTGCGTCGCAGCCGCTCATAGTGCCCAGAAATTCCAATATCCTTCAATTAAGGAATATACCCACAACTGCAAAAGGAAGCCTAATATCATTTAAGGGGAAATTCCCTAATTAAGGGATATGTTGGACTTTCTGGCAATTCTGCCTGGGCGCTGCCCAAACTCAGCACAAAACCTCGCCACAGCCATGTCCACAACGTCTCTTTTACGATTACTACTTCTGTTACTACTGGGTTGCTGTTAAGG